GCATTTGATGTCGGAGAAAGCGCCGATTCATAGCGCTTCTACCGGTTCCAACGTGAATCTTCCGAAAGTGGTGCGTCTTAGATCTTCGATGCCTACTCAGGTTGTATCGAAACCAAGACCGATGTAGGTAAAACCAAAGCTTCCTGAATGCCTAAATTCTATTTATGCCAATTCATCGTCCACTACGAAAGTACTCAAGAAGAGCTTCAAGAAGCGTCAGGATGTATCCAGCGATAGGAGTGATGCTCAAAGAGATTAAAAAATCAAAGCAGTCCGGAGAACAAAGATCATCAAATTAATCACAGGGATCACAGATCCCGTTAAATCGATCAGAGCGATCGTCAAATGGTCACTGGGATCCTCAAATTGATCACAGGAATTGATTACTGGCCGGAGGAGGATATCCCTAGATCGGTGATTCAAAAAGTGGTCTATATCGACCCTCAGGGGTCTATGACAACCTGCAAGGGGTCTACGTCAACGAAAAATAGGTACTGATAGTACCTATTTACAATATACTATCTTATAATATAAAGACATATACATTATTTATAAAAGTATCTATGAAGTAAAAAAAAATATTATATATGTTTATAAAATTGTGTAAGTTGTAGGAAGTAGGCATTGGCTTTGTGGTCGCAATACATTTTGAACTTGTAAAAACCTGCACATAATGATATACGAGTATCATCTTGTTAAAAGCATACGCGCAGTCTTAGAGCAAAGATCTTAATAATTATGAAGATGTCCCAATATAAATAATAAATTTACAAAAAAATCTAAATCAGTCTACGCAAAACCGAAAAACATGGTAAGGGGTCTACGACAAAATAAAGTTTGGGAACCTCTGCCCTAGATTCATGAGGTCGTCTATCCAAATGTCGCTGCCCATTGCTCTATTTAGAGTGGCACGGTACTGCACGGTGAGTGGCTGAGGTACTGCTCAGCTGCTTTCTCGATATCTCACATGTGTTTGGCAAAGTGTGGCACGAGTTACGGCCCCGTACTTCAGCACTTTTCAATCTTACTCTCCGTGTACAAGGCAGTCATAAAACCGATTTGGACCTACGGCAACTATAGGAATCTGTGTGCAACTCTAGAATAGACATCATCCAGAGATTTCAGTCAAAGATGTTTAGGCAATTAACCAGTTCTCCCTAGTTCATCATCAATGAGTATCCACCAGTCCACTGGTATCACCTTCGGTAAAGAGATTGCAAAAGCTAGCACCAGATATCGTCATCGGCTGGAGGATCATTCGAATCAACTTGCTGTAGAGCTGAGCAACACAGATGGCAGTCTACATACTGAAACGATTCTAACCGCACAATTTTCCTATTCGTTTCTGATGTAATGTGATGTACTTTGTTTATTATTTGTTTATATTTTATCAGTGTAGTTTTGTCATTGGATAAATCTGCAATATTGTTTATTTTCATTATCATTAGCCAGAATTAAAGCCTATTATTTTCTTTGCATTGTAATTGATTGTTTGTTGTAAAAAAATAAAATAGTAATTATGTGTTCTGTATTTTCTGTGATTAGTTATAGCAGGGCAAGGCTCTTCCAAGAGGAAAGCAGCTGATTTTATGTAATACAATACAAGATATACATATCATAAAAGCAAGACTAAACTATATGTGGACAGCTGCTCCAAACAACGTATCGACTGACTTGATTGGGTTTATGTAAGCACAAATATTAAAAAGTAAATCAAAATCACATATCGAGATATGAACATGAATATATATTTATTAAACGAGAAAAATAAAAGAACAAGAGACTACAGTAATATAATAAAAAACCTGAATCTAAGGATTTAAGACGGAATATTTCTCAACAAAATTTATTTGCATCTTTTAATGAAATTTCGTACCGATATTTACCACTAGTTAAATAGTAAAATATCGCAAACAGAATTTTGAGAAGACTCTTGGTTTTAAAAAATATTCAAATCACACGCTGACCAGCATTGCGCCGCGCACCACCGATTGGTGACTGCTGGAAAACAATTACAATTATTTCAGAAATAGTTAATTACATATTCTATAAATTATTATAATGACGTAGGTTCAATACCACATAATAGCATAGCGATTTTCAATTTTGTAAACTATAAGTAATAACGTACATTTATTAATTCATTTATTTCTTATTTCTAGGATACAACATAATTATACAAATAAATATGGCGTATTGACAAAGTTGGGTTCCCTCGAAGAAGGGATTAACAAAATCTGTTTTAACACAGTCGGGATTACGGTTGTCGGGACTTCGAATGTCCGGATTTAAATATGAATCGTATAAATTGGCTGAAATGTAAGCTACAAGATACAAGAATTAGTATATGCACCAAAATAATTAAACTTTATAATTAATGCTTCAGAAATAAATGAAAGAAATAAATGTCAACAATAGCAGCAACTGAAGAATTGGAATACTAATGCAGAAATCAAATCAACCAGCATATTTTTCCAGAAATATTTAGAACAATTTTATTTGAACTTGTTTATTTCATCAAAATACTGTGAATTTATATTATCACGTACTTTGTTTTCTTTAAATACCTAAGTGATAAGCAAACAAATATTCAGTACTTTTTTAATTGAACAGAACCAAGATGTTATTATTATACGTTTTAGTTTTCTTAATAAGTTGTTCAAATGTTTGGCGTATGTTTAAAAAAAATAACAAAATCATTATGTATATTTCCATTTTGTATGTACTTTCCAACTTAATATATGGGACCATTTTCTTTAAATATTATTGCAATAGTCATGCAAAATAAAAATAAAAGAATTGTTCGAAAATACCAATAATATAATAATATGATATAATAAATACATATAGATAGTTTCATGGCAGAAATAGGTAGGCCGATAACCCTTCAGTCTGTATTTTTTTGCTATATTTTATTGAATTTCTTAGTTTTGATGCATTTTATATTTTTTTGTCTGTTCAAGTACATTCTTGGAAAATAAATTTTGATTATTCATATTAGATAATTTCATTTTTTAACAACCGTATCAAACATATTTATATTATATATAATATATTTAATAGTAAATTATAATTGGTACTTTCAACTACTTTGTACTAGTAGTTAAATATATTTGTAGATATGTTCTTCAAATTGTTACTACTCTGGTACTTTGGTATTTATTCACATTTATTTTATTTGAATCCATGAAAAAATAAAATCCCAATAAAAATATTTTGGTATCAAAAAAAAAAATATTAAAATTATTTTTCATGAACATGAAATATGTTTTTATTAACATATACAATTTAAATATATTTTATTCGATATGCTTCACCATAAAAAGGAATCTTATATTTCTTAGTCACAATTTATAATTTAACATTCAGTATAGTTAAACGTATTATACGTGAATACTAAATAAGTAAACAAGTGATTTAATACGTTTTATTAATAATATTTATTATATATAATATATTCACATTAATTATATATTTTAATACTTGAGACATAATGAAAAATGGTTATATAAATAAATTATCTTGAAATTATCCATGAAAGTAATAATTTATGTCAAAGCTACAAATAATATATTATATAAAAAAAATGAATATAAGTTACATAATCAATTGATTTACTACAGCTACTACTAACAAAAACAAAATATTACAAAATAAAAGATATAATAGATAGGAACTACTTTAATGCGATATAATCTTACAAATAAGAAATTAATAAGTAATAATAAACAACCTTTGAACAAAAATAATAATAAATGATTTTTAATTAAGCAAAGTAAAAATAAGAAAGAAGGGGTTATTTTTTTTTACAAAAGAAACCCTCTGGAATTTTAAAAGTATTTTACAGAATATGTGTTCTATCCTAGTGTAGTTCTAGTCAGTACACAAGGAAGCAAAGTATGAGTTGTAGGGTTCTAAAATAATGTCCGTATTATCTACGAATTAAGTCATCAAAAATATATCATAAATAAAGGTAATCAAGCCAGGCCCTTTGTGAGCCCTCTCTATACTTATAGTTATAGGGCCATCGTTGATCACACATGGACTGTCAAATGAATGAGGTTCAGCAAATGGGCCTTCAGCCAAGTCGATGGACAATGACAGCGTTAAAGATAGCAGCAGATTCATGAAAGCAAATAGTGGAATCGCAGAGCATCAATATACTACTGAAGTTAACCTACAAGACGACAGCTAACCAACAAATTAAAATCAAATTATCATAATGGTAACTATCCACCTGGAAAGATTTACTCAATGTTCACATTGATGAACAGATTGTAAATAAAATTACACGACATAAAAAAAATGTTATTTAATAAATGAATATTTATTTTCTAATACATATTTATAATTCCAAAACATTTTTATCCATGGTTTATGGAAGTTGATATAAAAAAAATTGAACAGATTGTTAATAGCGATAGGTTTGTTAATTTCTATTATTGTTTTGAAACTATTATTTGAATGTGTATATCTAAACTTTAGATGAAAATAGAAGACATTTTATAATATATTTATTCAAAATGTATTGAGGAAGAAAATATTGAGAAATATTGGGATTGGAATGTGAGTAAAACACCCATTTTCAGCTACAAAATGACGGACGAATCTACAGTAATGTCGCATAACTTTTCTCAAAGTATTAATGGATCAAAATGGATTTATATGAATAAATCAATAAATAATCTGAAAGGCAATATAAGTTAGGTTATTTGTATAGAAAAACAAGTTTTTTTTGTTTTAATAGCAAGTTTTATTTTATATTATTGAACGGACATTATAATTAATCAATATACAAATAATACAGATATTTTACACGAATTACAAAGAAAATCGTTGGTTTCTTCAGCAAATGGAGTTAATTGTACGATGATTCATTTGTTAATAAATCATGTGTTTATTTATATGCTGAAAATTACCACATACTTTTTAATTAATAATAGCTATTTAAAAAAAAACTATTTATGTTCACTTATTAATTGTTCTACGTCTTGCCAATCTTCCCAATTACTTGTTTCGGTCTGCGCTTATTGCAGATTATTTTCCATTGCACTTGGCATTGTTTCGTATTCCGGCACCATTACAACTGTTACGCCGCATTCTTGATCCAAACAATTTGTCTCGAATGTCGATCTTTGTATGTATCCAGGTTGATTTAACAACGCTGAATATGGGAAACCTTGCGTCGCAACATAGTGTCAAGCTGGCGGCATATATGAGGACATGATGGTTGGAGACATAATCTGTGTTGTGTTATAACTATGATGCATCATAGTTGGGCATCCAATCTCTGCGAGATTAGCTGCAGCGGCCGCAGACTTTTTCGTTGCCTTCTTCTTTCTCTCCTTCATCCTACGATTCTGGAACCATACCTTCACCTGCTTCTCCTGCAACTTCAGTTTCACCGAAAGTTTGAATATTATTGCAGACAGATCTTCTAGAAATACCTTCTCAAGCTCGTACCGCTGTTGAGAAGTGTACGATGTGCAAAACCTCTTCGGCTTTTCTGAAACATTTTTATTATTTCCGTCACGGCTATTAATCTGATTGATCTGCTGCTCGTGATTTAAAAAAGAAGAAATAATTAATTAGTATGAAAATAGAAAAGTGTGATTATTCGACTTACCATTTGTACAGCTTGTTGAGGTACCATCAGGTATTGGCTGGGGTTGAAAAAGTAATGGCTCTGCATGGGAAAATTGTTGCTGCTGCTGGAGGTGGATACACTTGGCATTTCCATATTATATGAAAATTATTCATTTTTAATAATTATGTTATTTACTCTAATCACTTGTTAACTGCAAGAAAGACACCATATGGAATGTCCAAGATTAAGTCACTTAATTCACTTTCAGAGTCCTTATTTTTGTATCGTTCACTTGATTCTATTGAATTCGGTACTTGTCTCATTGTCGGAGTCGGTTGGGCGTCAGCTCGAGATATATTCCTTAGATAGCATATGTTGACTTTTGGGGGTGGTGCTTCCACGAAACTCTGTCTGCTTTCTTTGTATGCCTTTTGGGCCTGTTCCAGTCGCCGATGTTTTTCCAAGGATCGTTGTCCGCAGAAGGGTTTTTATTTTGTACTTTGTACATTCCATATGGTTGGCCGCCCGCAGTTTGCACATGTTGCGGGTATATCGCGGGATTTGGTGCATGTGTATGTCTCGTGCGCTCCAGCACATTTGAGACATTTGAATGGTAGTCTACAATTTGATGTTGCATGACTCCATTCGTGGCACCTATGATATGACACTGTGTAATTTTTCTCTTTGATTCGTAGCGGCTCCATTTGACTGTTGCGAAGTTTATGTGCCTGACTTTCTTTTGTAGATCCTTGAGGGTGATAGTGTTCTTTTTAACTTCTTCCGCTAACCAGTCCTCTGGGTGGTTCCACATGACAAAGGCATGGTTCTTCTCATTCTCCCTCCAGAACCGAATATTTGTTTGCAGGTCTTAATGACTTTTTCTGCATCTTACTTGGTGGTGGAGCCATTTCACAGAGAAATTTTCCCAGGTGGTAAGGGATTTAATTGTTTGTCACTTAGAAACTATTTCACTAACATGTGTATGGGATAACCTATTTTAAATTGCATGTTCAGTTGAGACCGGGCACTTAAGTATGTTTGGCTTTGGTGAAGTTTCTGGACGATTCTCGCTGATCTTCTTTTACCAGGTTCTAAATTGCTTTCGACCGCGCTCTTCCTCTTAGTCACTTTCACTTGACGCTGAATCCTCAAAGATCTTTTTGTGGATGGACGAGTGCGTGCTTTCTTAATATCCTTTTCAATATGATTCTCAGACTCGGCTGAAGAATTATTTTCTTGGTTTTGATTCTCAGACTCGGTTGAAGAATCATTTTCTTGGTTCTCAGATTGTGCTTGAATTCCGACCACTCCCATAGGCTCAGGCTCAGCATCCTTCGAATCGATCATTTATATACTTACGTCGCATTCATCGCAAGTCCTAGCAATACTCAATGGAGTAATATCGGGGTTACTCACGTTTTCCTCGTTCAGCTCATCTATGGCAATATCAAAGTAAAGTTGATCATCGCCTTCCGAGTTGACTTCATAAAATATCGAATCGTTTACATCCAAGATGACTTTAAGCTCATCAATTTCTTTTTAATATGTTGCAGCGTTCAACCTAATAGTAGTTGTTAACGTCAGTGAGTAAACAGTGAAAGTAATGAACTGCTCGCAAGCGCTCGATTTTATACCACCTAGTCGAAGCGTACTCAGGGAGTTCGCAAATTATTGCTACCAATAAAAATTAATTTTTATTTTATTATTAACTAAATTTTTAAGACTTGTATCATTGAAAAATATTCAGTTTTCAGATATTATCAAAAAATTTGTTAATATTAATTCAAATATTTGTTTAATTATTTGCTAAAAATTTGGTTTTAAACAATGTTTTCAAACTATTTTCACGTTTTTCTGAGTTGTATGCATTACATACATGTTAAAGCTAGATGTTTAGACTTTGTGAATATCGCTGTTTGCTTGTAGTAAGCTGTTAAAGATGAAATAACATCTTTTTAAGGCCGCGATTATGCATTGTCTTCACATTTTCTTAATTAATTATTAATAATAATTTATTCGCCAGACAGCAAATTTCCAAAAAATAAAAATAAATTCTAACATAAATTAACAAAAAACTTACAACTTTTGCCTTACTATTGTCAATAACAATTTTGATACCATATTTTAATAAACAAAAAAAAACTAATGTTGTAAATATTTTTTAAACAATCATAAGAATATTTTTTTTATATATTAATAAAGTTTTGTTTTTTTGCTGAAACATTTTCACAAAAATAATTCTGAAATTATTTACAACAAATTTATTATTGCTAGTTCTGATCGCGTCGAGTAAGTACTGAATTCTGAGTCTCCGGTAGAATTAGTGTTCATTTACCTCATATTTTATTGCATCGAACTGTAAATTGTTAAAACTGTGACGGTCGGACTGTGGGTGTCGTACCACAGGTGAAAATCGGGAGTTTTTCCTCATTAGTAGAAAAACTACAACAAATCTTACACAACAAAAAAAGGATATTAGGAAACAACCTATACAAGCAGTACTGATAAAGAACCCATACTCAGTCTTAGCTAGTACGTCAAAAAATCCACAAGACGCAGAGGATACCGTTCCTAAAACGACAACAATGCCTAACAAAAATCCCAAACCTTCTCCATTCTTGGATGACATGAATAAACTGATTACGGATTTCAACACTGTAGGACGAGATACATACACCCTAAAATTAATAGGCCACAAGCAGGTAAAAGTCCAACCATTAACTATGCCGATTACAGAAAAATAAGTAATATTATAAAAGATAAGAAAATACCATTCCATTCGTACCAGCTGAAGGCAGATAGATCTTTTAGAGTGGTGTTGCGTAACATGCACTTCTAATGCAACACTGATGAAAAAGGAGCTGGAAGAGATGGGGCAGTCTGTGGTGAATATCATCAATATCCGCAGCTGTGCTGATAAAAAAACCACTGTCAATATTCTACATAGACCTGCTACAGCGTGACACCAACAAAGACATATATAACATTGAATATCTCCTCTACCAAAAAATGAAATTCGAAATGCCAAGAAAAACAAAGTCTATTCCCCAGTGCTTAAACTATTGTTCCAAGCAACCGCGCTGTGTAAAATGTGGATAAAAACAATTCACACGGGACTGCAAAAAAAAACGGCAGAAACTCCAGCAACTTGTGCTGGTAGTCACCCGGCGAATTATAGACCACAACAAGCCACTTCCAATAGCTCTACGACATGATTATGCAACTGATGTGTTTGTCCTCATCACGGGTCTCGTCAAAAAGTTAAAATGAGCAAGTATCTAAAAATTGCTGGCTGGAATTCTAACGGCCTAGTCCAGCATGCCCAAGAGGTGGTATGGTTTATAAAGCACCACAACATGGATGTACTCTTGGTGTCTGAAACACGATTTACAAACAAAAGTTACATCGACATACCAGGTTATAGCACATATTCACAACAAACCACCCTGATGGCAGAGCACGTGCAGGAACGGACTTAATAATTAAGAGAGGAATTAAGCACTACCTAATGCCAAACTACCAGCAAGACTACCTGCAGACGACAAGTATAGTTATAGAAAAGTGGAGAGGCCCAATTACAATATCGTGGATCTATTGTCTTCCAGAAGGACGGTTACGGAAAAGAGGAATCTGCGTAAAGAATGGCAACGTACCAGGAATCCATCTGACAAACCCCTATTGAACAGAGCAATAAAACAGCTGAAGGAAATGCTTCAAAAACAACGGAATGAAGAACTTCATAATTACTTGAGTAGTCTATCACCTTCTGCAGCCTCCAATCATTCCTTGTGGAGAGCAACAAAAAACCTGAAGCAGCCAAAATAACGGAAGTCGACACTCCGCAGATCGGACGGCACTTGGACGAGATCTGATAAGGACAAGGCCGAATTGTTGGGTGACCATCTGTCCAGCGTCTTCAAGCCATTCCCATCGGAGCTCGACGATGCGGTCGAAAATGAAATTTAGCAATACCTTGCTTCACCATGCCAAATGTTAATAATCAGGTTTATACTAATTACTTTAACATTGCCGCAATAAGTGGTCACAGGTTCAATTCCTGGTCAAGTCACGCTCTTTGTGAGCCCTCTCGGAGCTTGTAGCAATAGGGCCGTCGTTCATCACAGGTGGACAGTGAAATCAATGAAGTTCAGCATATGGACCTTCAGCCAAGTCGATGGATATTGACAGTGTTAAAATAGCAGCAGATTCACAGTCAAAGGAAATAGTGGAATCGCCGAGCATTAATATACTACTGAAGTTAATCTACAAGATGACAGGCAACCAACTCAATGTTCACATTGATGAACAGACTGTGAATAAAATTACACGACATAAAAAAAATGTCGGTCTTGGTCGGTGGTAATGTTGTGTGGTCTCCCGAAACGGGCGATCCACCCTGAGTAAAAAACACGAGCGACGGTACCCGCTTCCTGGGGGAACCCCCATTGGTATCACTTCTGGCAAGCATGTAAAACGATTGACGCAGGTCAATCAATGGACGTGGACATGACGGAAGACCTTATTTCCGATGAAAATAGTCAAAAACCATCATTTGGAAAGCAGTGTTAACAAAAGGTTGGGATGTTGCTGTTTTGGTATCACATACCTGATTGGTATCTTCCTGAAGTTGTAGACTATTATCCGTTCGCATGAATTCTTGCAGTTACGGGTCCATGGCTCGACTCTGGTGAGGGAATCCGCGGCGAGGTAGATGAATAGTCGCATTTTATCACCTATCTTATCAAATTATAATTATTTTAAAATATAATTATAATTTGGTAAATCATAGAAATGATCCTTATTATGGAATTCACAATAAAAAATATATGGTATATGTTTTTTTTTAATTCATTAGATTTTATTATAGTTAAACTATGAAACATACTATATTATTATAATTATTTGACATCTGAGGATTCAATCTTCTAATGCTCAATCATATTAATGTCATCATATAAACTAATCGTCAAGCTAATCGCTTTCTCGTTATATTTCATGTACAAAAAAATATTAATAGACAAATATAATATTATATAATAATTACATAACATATTTTTTTATTTTTTTGACATTATTGTTATATTATAAAGCATCTGGGGTGTTTGTTCTTCAGGTTTCTTTATATTCCTACCATTCCTTTGGTTTCT